TTTAGTTTCACCAAAGTGCTCTAAGCTTAAAATACCATCTTCAACCTTAGGTCAGTAAGTCTACGACTGACAGTCTGACTGACACAACAGTCAAATGGATTGTTGTTGTTCAGGACTGTAGACCGATTAATATTGTTGAGGAGGATGAATGGACTGAAGTTTAGAAAGAAACTCTCCACACGTTCTACAAGACACCGTCCAGATGAACCGTAATGAGCCCTGATTAAAACTCTCATTATACTACATGTAAATAATGACATGCTTTGGTTTTGTCGTTGATAAAAAACAATTATCTGCTGTGTTTTGTCACATTTAGGAATGTTTTTTTATTAGATGAATTACCTGAGGAAAAACCATCCTAAAGTTCTGCTCAGGGCTAAACTGATGATGAGTGATGATCTACTTATTGGACACCGTGATCTTAAATATATTGATGAGATAATACATTGTTCCAACTATAGGCTGCACCATCCTCTCACTGTCTGGTGACTATGATAAAGTTGAGTCCAGAATTGGACACAACTAAGAAATCAGTGGATTTAAGAAGAAACAAATGTATAAAACGGTAACAAATACAGACAAAAGAGATGAAAGAAAGGATGGACACAAAGGAGCAGGAAGACAGAGATGACGGAGAGAGGACGTGGTTCTGGGATTAACGCTCAGCTGGAACTGGAGCAGGATTGTCATGCCGTGAATATAAAAACTGTACATTTCTCATAAACCTACTAACATGCAGATGATAATCAGTGGATTTTTCCGCAGATGCAGCTAATTATCAGTCAGTCTTTTTTTACTTCCCTCAGGTCAGGAAGCAGGTGGAACCCAAGTGCAGTACTCCAGGGGTATTTCTTAAAATCTCGGAAAGTATCCACTTGATGTCTCCAATACATCAAGTGGATACTTTCTGTCAATTTGTCTTTTAGAAAAGTGCAGCAAATCCTAACCACCTCCACCAGCGCTCTGAACAGGTGGAGGCGACCTGACCCCAAAGGCTCTGCTGTATACATTTGAATTAACTGCACAATGCACGTCCGTCCATGTCCAATATGTCTGTAATCTTGTCAGGGTCTGGGCCCAGATGGGGGTCACAACCAAACAGAATGAGGTCTTTGACAGGAAGTGTGGACGACTGTCTTCACCCACTTCACTGTGTATCATTAACATGTTGATGCTGTCTTCTTTAGGACACCAAAAAGGACACAGACTGTACAAAATGAGGTACGTAATGAAGGAAGGTGCTGTGTTAATCAAATGTCCTGCTCAAACCTGTGTTCAGTGGTTTTCACTTTTTATACTGTTACTTTTTGTCCACAGGAGAGAAGTCCTCCAGGAGATAACGTATGGTTCTAACAGCCTGTATCAAAGCTTCTCACGCTGTACACTGGGAGAACCCAGAGGTCTGTTGTAGGTTTGGGAGTTCTCACAGCCTGATCTTAACAAACCGTCTGTTGTTTCTTCTCTTGAGTTCTCTGATTTATTGTGTGATTGGTCAGAATTTAACATTTGTGAGTGTAGTAACCTCTAATGCTAATGCTATTTATATTTCGTTTTTTATTTTCCAAAGCTCTTTGTCAAAACGGTATCAACCAATCCTCTTGTTTCAACTGGTCATTTCATCAACTCCAAAACTGTCTTCTCCAATCATACTGTGCTGTTGTCAGTCAGTTTTGTCAGGTATCTATCAGTCTTCCCATCTGTCTGTCTCTCCTGGGTTCATTAGTTTCATCATGCTCACCTGTGTCCTGCTCATTAGCCTCACTGGTCTCACCTGGTATCCTGTGTAGATAAACCTCTCTCACTGACTCAATCTTGGTTTGGTTGTTGTGTTGTGTTGCGTTCAGGGTCAGTGATGTCATCATTGTGCTCTTCCTTGTGATTTTCCACTGTTCAAGCCTGGTCTGAGTGGAGACTCACTTTGTTGTTTCTGCTGACCTTGGCCAGATTTAAGATTGCATTATTTAATAACCCTTCTGCATGTGATCTGTGTCCCCTGATTGGTGCATTTGGATCCTACCTGCTTTCTGTACACAGCAAAATTTCCCACAATGCCTAGCATGACATCAGTATGGAGTACAAAGTGAAGTTGCTGTTGTTTTTCACACCTCCAGAAAACAGACTACAATTCAGTGACTAGTAGCAAATGCTGACTTGGTACAAGCAATTAGCAAGTTAGCACCATGCTAATAAACAGTGTTTTGTTTTGTTTTTTTCATTCTTGACTAAGGCTACATCAAGCTAACTGTTAATAGGCTCACTGTGGTTCTTCACTGGGTTTTGCCAGCAGATCTGAATCTCTGGGTGGAATTGCTGCCATCTAGTGGGTTGATTTCATTAAAGTAAGAAGTAAAAGTAAACAAAAGAAAATAATAATCTAAAAAATAATTTCTGGATATATGTTGGGGTTTTATGTAATGATGATAAAAACCCTGATTACATTATGACTTGTGGTTATGTTGAAGAAGGAATAGAGAAAAAGAGATTCTTCATCCTGCTGCTACAGCTCCTTAGAACGAAGGTACATTCATCTACAGCAGGACAGTTCTCTTCTTTGTCTTTACTAACATCCATTACATTAGTGCTCCAGCTCCAGCTCCAGCTCTGGCTCTCTCCACTTCCACCATTTTCAAGATGTTTGTCGTTGCTGCATAATCGAGTTAACCTTTGGCATTGCTGATGCACCGTCTGATCACCTTACTATTCTCCACCATCCTCTGTGGTACTTTCTCTTCCTGCTAACGTCTGCTTTGTCCTTGGCTGCTGTCACAGACCATCATCTGTGTCCGTTCTCCTCTACAGCTACTGTCCAACAGATAGTGTAGATGTTTGGAGTACTTGAAAAGATTCCAAATGTTCTACTGCTATAATATCTCATATAATCTCATAATAATAATAATTAGGACAAAATGAACCCAGAGAGTCTGTTTTCAACTGTCTTGATAATCCATTCTTTAAGTTTCTGTCTTCCTCAGGCATTAACGTTGCATGTCCTTATCTGTTTTTGCCACGCCTTTGATACACAGTTACTTCTAAGGAAGAAGGAAAAAAAAAACAAATGTTCAAATGATTGAAACTCATCAACAGGTGTTTGGTTTCGCTTCAACTGAATTGTTTTTTTCTATTCCTTTAAGAACATTTAACGGAAGTGGGTTTTAATCCTTAGACCAGACAGAGAGGTAGGTGTTGACTTGGGGTCAAAGGTCATCCTCCAGACTGAAACATGAAGGAGAGGCAGAGATTTGATTTGAAGTTTTGTATTCTGTTTTTGAACATGTAAAAGCTTTAGTTGTATATTTTTTAATTGTACATATTATGATGTTATTTTTGTAGCTCACACTACCGTCCTCATCATCTTCATCATCACTAATATGACATTTTGGTTACTCACTCAAAGTAACCAAAATGTGACCAAGTGACCTTGCATTTGTTTTTGAAGCAGACCCATCCATCTATTCATTCATTCATTCATTCATTCCTGTTCTCTCTGTGGCTGCAGTTTGGAGCAGAGAGAAGCGTGACAGCAGCAGCGGGAGGAGGAGGAGCAGGAAGAGCGCGTTTTGGAGCTCGGAGAGTGTGAGCTCAGTGCACCTCCCCTCTCTCTCTCTCTCTCTCTCTCTCTCTCACTCTCGCCTCCTCTTGCTCTACGAGCCTGTCTGCAATTCCTGCTCCTCATGCCAGAGCCTGCAGCTGTCTCTGCTGCGTCCTCCCGCCGCTGCTGTGGGAAACCGTCGCCTCTCGTTACTAAACCCACACCGGACTTTCTCCGTTTCCTGTGGAGTGCGCAGATTCATGAGATAACGCAATTTACCGACAAATCCCGAACCCAGTTCACAGTCAGGAGCCTGAATGAAGACACCTGTCAGAACCTGAGCCACTGCTGCACTGTGTTGACTGTGGACTCTTTAAAGTAGCTACAGGAATGTGGAATAAAACTCTGGCTCCACGGTGAGTGTGTGTAACCTGTTTTCGTGCGACACTCATTTTCTCACTTGTTCGGGACCTGTTTTAGTGAAAGCGCTGACGTTGTCTGGACCAGTGGTCTCCATGAAGACCTGATGAGGAACAACCTGATTTTGGTTCTGGTTGTGGGTTGAATTTCTAATGTAGTCAGAATAGGTTTGGTCATTTGGTCATTACCATTTTATGACCGGCTGTGTTGTGGTCAGGCCATACAAATGAATGGAGGCTTTTGCAGAATCCTAACAAGAATAGCTGCACAAATCTCTATCTCTCTGTGTGTGTGTGTGTGTGCACAGGAAGTCTTTGGTGGATTGTGCGTTCCACAAAATTAAGTTTGGTACTTGATGCCTCACATCTGCATGTGTGCCACTGGTGTTGAATGCAAATGTTTCCTTGAAGCCAAAACCATTACTGTGTGTTTATGGCTGTGTTAAAATATCAAATGGAAGATTAAACATGTCTCTGCTCCTCTCCTGTTCTCCCCCCCCCCCCCCC